TTACTGGGATTCAGCCTGAGCTTGTTTCATCTCCTGCAGTCCCTAACAACCCCCAAACACCAGGTGAGGACATCCACAGCATCTCCAACATGGCTTTGGGTACAGCAGCACATAGAAGATACCTTACCCCAAAGCAGCAAATGATGCCTCCAAGCAGTTTCATGTAGCTGTTAAATAAATATGGGAGAGGAACAAGCCCTATGGCATCCCATAGAAGAGGGGCTAATGGTTTGACTGCTCTTCCTCATGATCCCTGACTTTGGAAGGAGCAGAATGACCATCCAATTGTGCTCTCTATCTCCATTCCTTGCAGGCAGCCCCCTGAGAGGCCTAGCAGGTCTAAAATCAGACTGGAAGAGATCAAAGTAATTTGCTTCATCCAAGGATGGGCCACAGAGGTCAAGGGATTTCCCTTTGGGCAGCAAACCAAGGACCCAAAACTGGCTCACCTGCTGGAGATGATGGAAGGTTAGTTCATCACATCTAGAGACCACCAGGTTGGGGAAGGCCAGCTAGAGATGCTACAGCATTTGGAAAAAAAAATGCATTGTCGTTTTGGATGAAAAACTCCAAAAGGTACTTCAAGAGTGATGGTTAGAAAGGAAGACATTCTCAAATCAGCTTGCAAAATGTTATGCACCACAATGAGAGTATCAGTGGGGCTGAAACAAACCTCCATGCCCGACTCCATTTATATGAATGCAGCAGGAGTGTGATTCTTTTATCACCGTAAACTATTATCTGATTTATTTATTTGTCAAATTTAGAAGGCTTGCCCAATTCTACAAGGACTTTGGGCAGTGTACAACTTCAAAAACACTAAGATAACATTCAAAGTAACTTACTTGGTTTCAGTTTAGCATATTGTGTGAACCCAACCATTTTGGCTGATAAATCATTATTTGTGGTTTAACACAATGTTGGTTCAATAAACAAACCACAGCTTCATACAATGAATGGAACAAGTCCCTGTCAAATCTGCCTGACACCAGCCAGACTCACATGCTAAGCAATAATTCTACCCAGCCACAGTTGGTGGGATTTGTGCACCAAGCTAAGCCATCAATCATGGCTTAATTACCACAAAGCTTGGGGGTACACACCATAGTAAGCCAAAACCAAATATGCCACATTATGGCTTAGCCAGTGACATTCCAACATATCAAGGATTTTTCCCTTCTTATTTGCTATTTAATCTTGTAAAACTGGAAATGCTAGGAATTAAACATAGAACCACAAATACGGAAAGTACTACTCGGCCATCAAACTCCATTGATTCGCTCCCCATGGGCAAACATACCATCTTTATAACCTGAAGGGCTAAAATTGGTTTGGGGGAATTAAGGACAAAAAAGAATACAAAGATGCAGAACTTTTCATCATGCTAATGTAATCATAGGGCACAAAAATAATCCATTGGTGCTTTTCCACAATCTTTCCTCAGCTTGGTTCTGACCTTTGCAAATGATACACAACACCAGTTCCTCGAGCTAGAAATAGATCCAGGTACCAGAAATCCAACAGAGAAGGGACAGATTTTATTACCAAGCAATTATTACATTTCAAATGCTGATTCATGACAGTAATAAAAGAACCGGGTGTTACGATTCTTTTAAAACAAATTATTTAAATGCCAGCAGATCAAAAAATTTAAAAGCCAGGAAAAAAAGACTCTACCTTAAAGGCCTTAAGTTAGGCACCTTCATATTTCAACTCACAGTTCATTTCATTAAAATGTAATAAGCACAATTTGATCCAATTTACTGTTTCCAGAAAGGGGACAGCAGCTACTTCTGGAAAACTCACAACTAAGCATAAACTAACAGATATCTTTTGTTTATCCCCCACATCTGGAACTATTTTCTTCTAATCTCTCTTTCATCAAATAATGTCAATAATCACTGAGAGACATTTCCTTTATAACTGTGTCCAATCCCCTTCTTAAAAAAGTCGATTAAACAGCTTGTGCTGGAAGTTCTTTCAGCTAGATTGAGCACTAAGTTAGAACACTGAAGATTCTGTATCTAAAAAAATGGGAAAATTCAGACCATGATATCATATGTAAATTCATAATGTAAGCCACCTAATGCAGATGTATAACTATGATACTTAGGTTCTTGCCAAGGCACAAACTCAGATTAAGTCCAGATTAAAAAAAAAAAACCTGGGGGTGTAAGATCATGTCATTTACTCATTTCAGGAGTAAGGTATAATCAGCCAGGTAACCAATCTGAGCTATGAGACTAGGAATAAAGCTACAATCAGAGAAATAAACAATAAAGGCAGCCTTTTTCCCACTATAGGACTCTCATGGGGGGGCTTTTAAAGAAAAGGACTCTTCTCATTCACCAACCTGAATATAAACAGAGCCTCTGATGAAGACTCTAAGTTAAAACTTAAGGTCTTCATCAAAGGCTCTATTTATGCTCAGATTGGTGAGTATAACCAACGGTTATCACAGACATGATTAACTTCATGTGGAAGAAGATTATCCTTCAGTTATCTGGGCTCTCAAATTGATTAGGGCGGTGGCAGGCAAAAAGGTATTTTGGACTACAGTTCCCAGCAGCCTCAGTCAAGAGCCAGAACATCCAAAGGAAGCCAGATTTGTTTTAAATCAAGTCAGACAGATTGGTTGGTCACAGATACCTTGGGCACCATTTTGGCTCTGTAGAAAGGAAGCTGTGATTTGCTTTAACCATGATTCATTGAATAAACCATAGTGGTCTGGTCTACAGATAAGATGAAGCTGACACACCATGGTTTATTTTATTTTGGCAGAGTATGAACACAGCCTCTGTGGTTTCTAAGCCAGGATTGATGGGTTAATGTTGTAGGTAAAAACCAGTCAATTGTGGATTTTCAAAACACCATGCTTAAACCACCCGTGCCTTAATGTAATGTGTCAACTCCCACAGACCCTGCCACTCACATTTTATGTTAGTGATAGTTTAGTTTCTAAACCCTGCATTCTTGCACACGTGCAGGGGTACATTCATTTGGTTTTTCTTCATTCTATAAAAGTTCATGTATTCAGTTTATTGAATTATATCTATATACGTATATGCATACAGTGTTGATGTGATCTTCCATCCCAGACATGATCAGGGAAGTTTCCCTCCTTTGCTGCTGTGCAGATAACCAAAGTGGCCTTGCCAGTTCCTCTTCCCCAGTACTGTATACAGCTTGGTGCTCTAAGCCCCTTAGCCATCTCTTCTCCTGCAGAACAAACAGTAGGGGAAGCCTTAGAACAGGCCACTCAAAGTAAACTTTTGGAAAGAAGAGGCCCAGTTTTGTTCCTAGCCACCCCAGGAGACTGTCACAAGATCAGCCCTGCTGGATCAGGCCAAAATCCATCTCAGTCCAGCTTTCTGTTCCTCACTATGTCCAACCAAATACTTTTGGGGTGCTCACAAGCAGGTGTCAGAGACATAACCCCCTCCCACCATTGTTCTTCTGCAACTGGTACTTACAGGTACCAAGATGACATTAAGGCACAGCCATGCTCCTCTCCTTGCCTCTTTTATTAAGGAGACACAACACTTCTTGGGTTTTCCCCCTCCCTTAATACTATTACATTTAACTACTAACTGGCGCTCTCTTACATATAAATCACTCCCAGCCTTTGAAACACAATCATCATTTAATAGAAATCCCAGTGCCCCACGTCTATCAATGGCCAAAACAAGAATGCTCTACAGCCCCAGTAAATTGCTCTGACATTTTCAGCTATTTGTCATCTTCTTCCCCTTCACCCCACCACAAACAAAAATCCAACCTTTTAAGCAGAGTACTCCTACGCTATTAATGCCATAGATCTATTAAGAGGTATCAATTTTGAAAGCTAGGGAAACCAAAACAAGCACCGCCGTTTTTTAATATAACATATCCCAATCTTGAAACATCACATCTCAGAAGAGGATAATCAATATAATCCATATAGACTCCATTCTCCTTAGCAGCCTAGGTTTGAGAGAGAGAGACTTGCACATGACAGCTTCTTGTTCTTGCTTATGTGGCATCAGCAAGACAGAAAGGAAAGACAAAACCAACCTCCAGCAGAAATACAACCTTTTTGCTTTTCTGAGAAAGAAAAGGAACGCAAAACCCCAGCCAAGTAAATGATCAGCATCACAGTGCCATTCCCATCCCCCCAGAAAACATCAGGGGGACTTAAACATTTTCCTAGTGTTAAGTCTTTTGTTGTAAATAAATAAATAGGCCTAGTTGGCACCTCAGAAACGGCCATTGGCGCCAGAAGCGCTTGTCCTGCGCCCTGCTGCCAACCTAGCTTTTCAAAAGCTAAACTTCAGACTATCTTTGCCAGGAGGTGGAGTAAAGGGACCCCCAACCACTCACAGAATTGTCTTCAAAAACTTTCATAATTCTAGGCAATCACAGGGTCACATATTCCCAGCTTCTGTCTAGGGCCTCCTATCTCAGAAAATCTAGGCTCCACCTCTTTAAATTTCACATTTCTGCCCTTGCTGTCTGAACATGCCCACCTTTTCCAGTGTGGCTCAACATACCTTTCTTTCCTCTCCACGTGGTTTATCACATTTCTATCCCACTGCAATCAAATGACTTTTGACAGCTTAGGTAGAACAGAAGAAGGTATTAAATCTGATCACTGACGTTCAAATACCCCATTTTAGCTGGGTCTTGTTTATTGACCAAGAGCCCACAAAAAAGGATCTCTTTTGTAAAATATGACATCTGATGCCCAGATTTTTCCAAGATAGGAAAGAATTGCACATTGATTCAGAGCAAGCATATAATATAGTGTCCCCCATGGGGAATAAAACAGGTGTACGGCAAGGAAGCTCCATAAAACCAATAAGATCCCCCCCCCATAAAATGTTAAATATACTCCGAGGCTGGTTAAAACGTAGTTAGGGAATGCCAGATGTTCTCAAATGACAGCAAAAACAAAACAGTTACAATGCCAACCAACCCCAAACAAATCTTAAAATAAAAACAATAATACAAGGCCAACTTACCCAAAATCCTGGTCCATCGACTTGAAGAAAAATTTGTAGCTGTGCACCGGCCGGTTACTGAGGACATTTTTAAAATCCGCCAAAGTGACTTTTTCCGGAGAAACGGGCAATTTCACCAAATAAGGGGTCTCCTCTTCATCGATATGGTAAATTATTTTTGTCTCCGCCATGGAAGAAGGAAGGAGGGAGGGTGGAAAAGGGGGGAAGAGGGGAAGGAGAAGAGAAGGAGAAGGAAGAGGTTTGCTAAAGAGAGGAGCAGAATAGGGAGAAAGGATTGAGAAAGGGGGTGGGAAAGGGAGAGAAAAGGAGGGGCGGGGGGAACAAATCAAGGCCAAGTTCAAGGTGCCAGTTCCTCGGATTCTTCTAGTTTTTTTTTTTTTTAAACAAGGCAAGGTTGGTCTCCGAACAGGAAGGGAAAATGCCTGACTGCTACCGTAGCAAACCCTGCGCGGAAGGATTGGGGCGCCCCATACTGCCCTCTAGCGGCCGCAGCGGAGAAAGGGAGCGCGGCAAGGCCTTCCGGCAAAGCATTCTCCCCTCTCTGGAGGGGCAGCGGCCGCGTTCCAGTTGCCCCCTTTCCTGGAGGGACGTCTCCTCCAAGGCTCGGGAGGGGGGAGCGCGAAAGGAAGGGGGGGCTTTGTGAAACAGAACAGCCGCAGTGGAGGCAGCCGCGCTCTCTTCCTCGGGTGATGTCCCTTGCCCGCGGCTACAGCCAATCAAGAAGCATAGCCGTGACCCGGCCGCCAGCGATGTCGCAATGCTGAAAATGATCAGAGCAGCTTGGATTTGGAGGGTTATTGCTGGGGGGATAAACGGCAAACCCCGCAGCTGAACTGAGAGCTGAGCAGGGCGAACAAAATAAACGCCTCCCTCGCTCGCTCGCTCTTTGCGCGCGCGCGCTCCCTCTCCTTCCAAAGCCCTCCTTTCTCCTTGACAATCTCCTCTCCGCCCACCCCGTTTAAAGGGACCCGATTTTGTTTGCTTTTTGCAAGCGAGGGACCAGGCGCGCGCGCTCACGAGACCGGCCTCCTCTCCGCAAAAGGCGCAGCGCGACCACGCATGCGCGCAGCTCAAATCAAAGGGACGAGCGGGGGGGCCGGAGAGGCTCAGACGTGCACGCGCCCGGCGAGGGGCGCTTTAAGGAGGAGGGAGAGTCGCCCCCCTTCCGCAGAGCTATCCAATGCGAACGCTCCTCGGCGGTCAGGTGACCTCTACACCCCTTCCCGTAGTCGGATAGAAGTTCGTAGGGAGGGCGGCCGAGCGCCTGCGCTGCTTTGCGAGCCACGGAGACCAGCGGCGCTGAAAATCCCGCTGTGCCTGTGGCGGACTACAAATCCCCTTCCTCTCCAGTGCCCGGGAGCGGTGGGAGGCGCACCAGCTCCCTGTCCGCGGTGTACCTTTCCAGATTTAAAACAAACGCCCGAAGAGGTATCCTAAATCAGATACTGTACAAGGTTTCACTTCCGCGGCGGCCGGCGCGATTCCTTTGGCGTCTGAGCGGCATCCTCCACACAAAGGGGGCGGTGCTAGGCAGGCGGCGCTGGCCGGGAGCAAACAGCCCAGC